TTTTTTTTGTTTACAAATACGTAATATGACTATTTAATATAACTATACTAATAGTGTTCGTGTTCTAAAGTTCACGTTGGAATTCCTTGCGGAATAAACCAAGGTCTATTGGCTGGGTACCCTTGAAATGGTTGAGGTCTGTACACTAGAGATGGTGGAAACATAGGTTGTTGTACAAACGGTGGTCTAGTTCCAAACTGGTAAAGCAAAGGCTGAGGTTGATGTACATACTGTGTCCTATTTGCAACTTGGTAGGGTGCAGTCTGCATACCCCAGGCGTGAGGATTTCCTACCGGTTTACAGTCAATTCCACACACGAGAGTATCATATCCCCATCTCACAGGTTGCCTTCTTTCACGTGTAGGATATCGTTGGGTCGCATCATGAACTGTATCCGGTGTATCCTCAGCCGGTGTATCGTCTATCCTCTCCTCTTCTAGCTGAGAACTACCACYTCCAGCATCATCACTYTGTACCTCGGCATCASATAGTGCATCCATCATCGGTACAACTGGTTCTACGTTATCCTCTACGTCTTCGATAGCGTCAGAGCCGCRCTGAAGGTTGACAGGTTGARACCYGATATCACTATCTGAGCTGTCCGAATCCTCATTCTCACTGTTTTGTCGTCTGTGCTCGGTTCGCGGTCGACGTCGAGGCTGTCCTCGCTTTCTTGGTAGGGGTTGTGGTGGTGGAGTAGGCTCTAGGAAGTMGCAGGAATAMAAAAGGTTTCTGTGAAGAAGTCGCGAGTTACCGACGTGGTCTTCTCGCTTGACTTCATACACCGGACCAGTGCCTTTGCGGTTCACGACTTTATAGACTGCGTCCTCCCAATAAGAGCGCAGTTTCCCTGGTCCTCCTCTTGGTGTAAGATTCCTGACAAGTACACGGTCTCCCTCGCGGAGCTCCGTGAAGTTCATTCGACGATCATACCGTTCTTTACTTTTGTCGTTGYCTTGAGCCACTTTCTTTCGTGCGATGTYATAAGCCGCTTGCATAGTGGTTTTCCAGCGTTTGGCAAATGCTCTCAAGTTGGTASTGTCATTAACTTCTCTTCCTATTAGGATATCGACAGGTAGTCTTGGAGACCTACCGAATAGGAGGTAAAACGGTGCAAAACCAGTACTCGTGTTTGGTGTGCAGTTGTATGCATGGACAACTTGATTGACATAATCTTTCCAATGTGATTTCCGATCTTCTGGGAGTGTTCGAAGCATAGACAGTAGAGTTTGGTTGAAACGTTCAGTTTGACCATTACCTTGCGGGTGGTRCGGTGTTGTTCGGCTGTGTCGAATGCCGCTAAGTTTCTCAAGCTGCGAAAAGAGGTGATTTTCAAATTCCTTTCCCTGATCGTGTAGGATCCGCGCTGGGAAACCGAATCTCGGGATAAGGTCATTGAAGATTTTATCGGCCACTGTCTTCGCGGACTTGTTTCTGGTCGTATAAGCCTGAGCGAACCTTGTAAAGTGGTCCACGACAACGAGAATATATTCATAACCGCCAGAGCTCTTTTCCAGATGAAGAAAGTCTACGGAAATAAGCTCAAAAGGCGACGATGATGAAAGGTGTTGCATTGGAGCACGYGTTTGCTGTTGCGGTCGACGTTGTTTCAGGCATGTGCACACATTCGTAACATAATGAGTGATGTCGTGTTGCATGCGGGGCCAGAAGAAACGTTCACGTGCAAGTTGRATGACACGGTCAGCCCCCAAGTGTCCCATATCACAGTGTAGCTCTTTAAATACTAGCGACTTCGAGCTGACTGGAAGTACCAGTTGTAGGTTRWTGGATGTTCGYCTGCGCARCAGGCCGTCCGTTCCGACTTCGAGCTTTCGCCACTCACGCAGAAGGGCCCTAGTACCCCTAGTTTCTCTCAGAATTGCTCTCCTACCGGGGCGTTGACCGGACTGCACAAAAGTAACAACTCTGCTGATGTCCGGATCAGCCTGTTGRGCGAGGAGAAGTTGACGTAGAGTGACYTGTTTTCCATTCGTATCGCGTAAAGAAGGTTGAGTCTCTTCRGCAAAATCAATGTGACTACCAAGTGAAGCAGCCCATATTGATTGTCCAGTAGTCAGCATCGCTACTCCCGCAAATGTAGCCTCTATCTCGCCCCGACTAGTTGTCTGAACAAAACGCCCATCAAGTTCAGTCTGATCAAGAGGCATACGACTTAAGGTGTCAGCGACAGTATTCAGACGTCCTGGCTGGTACTTGATGGTGAAATTAAAATCTGCCAGTTCGGCAACCCATCTGTGTCCGGTTGCGTTGAGTTTTGCTGTAGTGTTCA